CTGAAAAAAGGGTGGCTGGAGGCAACTCTTTTTCGGTCTCCAGCCACCTCTTTCACAGCGCAAGAAGCCTCCCCCAACCGGCTGGCTGCTCTCTTCCTCCTTCTTGGCCATACAGAACAAACAGGCAGACAAGGAGGAGAACAGCTGGCCCAGCACATAGAGCAAGGCATGTTTTCTTTGGTGCAGCTGCTGGACTCCAGCCGCACCGAAAAAAAGCACACAGCAGCTGCAGGCATCTTGCAACAAGGGGTGAGGACGAGAAGCCCAAGGACAAGTGGCCACCTGCTGGCTGGCTGGGCTGGGCCGGGCTGGGCCGGGCTGGAAGAGGCGCGTCTGCTGGGAGAAGGAAGAAAGCGTGCTCCGGGAGGAGGGGGTCCCTCCCTTCACGCTTCTTGTGCATGCCGGGAGTGCCTAACCGGAGCAAGAGAGAGCAAAGTTGGCTGATATAGGGTGAATGCCTTGGCTTCCCCTCTTGCTCCTCACAATCGCCCTGAGCCAATGCGGTTCTTTACTTGGGTAGCCAGATACCGCAGCAGCACCAGGCAGCGCCGCAACAATGAGGTACAGTAAGTAGGATTGGCTGAGCTGGCCACACCCACCCAGTCACATGACCACCAAGCCACGCCCACCAAACAAGCCATGCCCACAGAACCGGAAGTAAACATTTTTGAATTCCACCACTGGCTGAGCCCCTCTTCTTTGTGGCAGCCCCTAAAATACCAGAATACTGCTATCATGTCACCCCTAGTCCTTCTTTATTCCAGAGTGGCCATACCCAATTCCTGCAAATCTTCATGCTTTTTTTGTCTCCAGGCTTTTAATCATCTTAGTTGCTCTTCTTTGCACTTTTTCCAAAGTTTCAATATATATTTTTGTAATGTGGACCAAAACTGGATGCAGTATTCCAGATGTGGCATTACAAAGGCTTTATAAAGTGGTGCTAATACTTAATGTGATTTTGATTCTATGCCTCTGTTTATACAACCAAGGATTGTATTAGCTTTTTTTTTGTTGCTACCACACACTGCTGGCTCATGTTTAACAAATCGTCCACTAGGACTCCAAGATCTCTCTCACGGTTACTGTTTTTTTTCCCCCACAAATTTTATTCAGTTTTTCACATTAAAAACAAAAATCTCTTTTTAGTGGACAATGTATTTCCGGGTCATCACCTTTACATACAAATACGACAGCAATTATACATTCATATATGCATACTTAATTCTATTATTACCTTTTCCATTCCAAATTTTCAGTAAAAAGAGAAACAAACACATTAATTCTAGCCTCTTTCATTAATCTCAATTGAAACATCTTTTTGTTTCATTTCAATTGTTTCAAATATAATCCTTTAATATTTATTTTAAAAATAAAGATAAACAATATGTGTTTGCCTAATAATAATAATAATAAAGTTACCAATGTCTCTCCTTGCTTTTAATAGTCTATATTAACTTATTAATTTAGTTGGTTCTTTAGTCTGTCATATTCCCTTTCCATTACACATTCTTTTTATAAATTCTAGATTAATACAAATTTTAACACTAAAAAAAAACCAAGTATAGGTTTCCCCCCTTTTACTGCTTTGAGTGTGACACCTCAGTGATTAAAATATACCTTTATTCCCTCATCTTGATTCCCAATAAACCATTATTTTTAAGAAGTTACAATAATAATCATTACAACTTTTCATTTAGATTCCGCAGCATATTTCTCCCCCTTGATTTTTAATAAGAGTTATCAGTATCTATATTACCCTATTTTCTAAATATTTTTAATTGCAGAAATATTATTACCCCTTGTCACCCTACAGAATCCCCTTTTTAATTCATCAACCATTATCTCTGAAAAAACCATTTCTTTTCAAAATTTTACTATTTCCGTATTTCTTTATTTCATGCACTTGTTTCTTACTGCTTCTCCTCCCCCTCTTTTCCCCATATCTTTTCTCATTCCAGTTTATATCCCTCTCTTTCTTAATATCTCCCTTTCCCCTTTTCTGCTGGGTCTTTCTGCCTTTCCTGACTTCACAGGTATTCCCCCTTTTGATTGCCTTCTTAAATCTCAACTTTTTAACCTTCCTTCTTTCCCCACTTCTTTGTAGTGTTCTTTGTGTTAATTGTCTATTTAAGATGTCTTCTCCTTGAGTCAACTCCTCCTCCTCTGAAGCTCTTTCTTCTTGTTCTTCAATCGCCATTTCCATTTTTTCTAACACAGAGCAAAGTGATTGGCCTCTTTCCTGTAATAATTCTCTTATATTTTTAAGTTCCATTTTTAATTCCTGAAGAGATATCAGCATTACACACTCTTATATTTTATGATCGCTAAAGTCCACAAAAAACAAAAAACAAAACACTTTTACTTTCGTTCTTTCTTCTTTCAATTCAATTCAATTTTCTAAAGTTCTCAGTTATTCCAGCCCAGGGTCTATGCCAAAAACATCAATCAATCCTACAGTCAATTTTTCCTTGCTTTTTTCTTTATTCTGGTTCTGCTTTCACTTTCTAAGATTCTTACTTTGTTTCAATATTTCTTTAGTGTTACATCCACACAAGTTCATTCAGAAACAGGATGCTTTCCCTTTTATTTGAGCTCAAGTTTTTGTCAAAAGGTGGCACTCTCCATTATACAAAGTCTTCACCTTTTTCCCCTATTTTTTTTTTATTTAAGGTTTTTCAAACCTCAATATTCCAGCACAGTCCAGCCTGCAATTTGTAAACTTTATTATTATTTTTTCACAATCTTATGTCCAGATTTATTTTATGCCTGTTTATTCCCAAAACATTTTAGTCCAATTTAGTTAAATCTTTAGTTCTGGCTTCTTCCTTTCCCAGTTCAAAGCCCTGCTTAGCTGTCAAAAATATTTTTTTTTCTTGTCCCTTTCTAATTTCACCGCTCACTTTTCTTTTCTTAAAAATTCCACATTACCTTAATCCCGGGGTACTTTCGTTTAGTTGTATTGCCCAGTTGTCCCGGTTCAAATGTTATCCACCTCTTTCTTCCCTCCTGCACAAATCTTAATCCAGCTGAGTCCTCCTCTTCGGGGTGGCCATTTTAAACCACCGCTGCAGTCGTCTTCAGGGGGGAAAAAGACCAAGTCCAGGGGGGGAGATGCGGCTCCCCTCAACCTGTCTTGCGGCTTCCCCTTACTCCACCACCCCTCTAAGGCAGCTTCAGCCCCTAACCGTAATGATCGGGGCTCTCCAACGAAAGAGCACGGACCATAGCCGCAGAGAGTCACGATCTACGGTCTGTCAGCGAGGAGGCTCCGCCTTCTTTTCACACAGTTACTGTTTTTGAGCCAGGTTTCACCTATTCTGTACTTGTATCTTTGAATTTTCCTGCCTAGGTATAAAACCTTGTTTTTCTCCATTAAATTTCATATTGTTGGATAGGGTCCATTGTTCAAGTCTGTCAAGATCTTTTTGGATCCTGAGCTTGTCTTCTGGGGTGTTGGTTGTTCCTGCCACCTTAGTGTCATCTGCAAACTTGATGAGTTCCCCTTCTATTCCCTCTAAGTCATTTATGAAGATACTGAAGAGAACCTTGTGGTACGCCACTGCTTACTTCCCTCCATGTAGATGTTGTATCATTAAGGATTACTCATGGAGTACAATTTGTCAGCCAGTTACAAATCCATTTGGTGGTGATACTGTCTATCCCACATTTTTCTTGTTCATCAAGTAGGTTGTGGTCTACTTTGTTGAATGTCTTGTTGAAATATACTATGTCCACAGCATTTCACTGAACTACTAATTTAGCCATTTTGTCAAAGAATGAAATAAGATTGGTTTGGCATGATCTGTTTTTAACAAACCCATGCTGACTTCTAGTTATTACTTTCCTTTACTCATTTCCAGAGGTTGGCAGATCTGTTTTTTTTAAAATTATCTTTTCCAGTATCTTCCCAGGTATTGCTGTTAGGCCGATAGGTCTGTAGTTTCCTGGATTGGTTCCCCCCCTTCCTTTTATTGAAGAAAAAAAAAAAAGCTCTTTTCCAATCTTCTGGTAGTTCCCTGGTGCTCCAGGATTTTTAAAAAGATATGGTAATTGACAATTCATGGTCTAGTTGTAGGTTTCCCACAGGGATTTTATTGGCTACTTTATGATATATTCACACAAATAAGCTAGTTCATGGTTTATCACTAAAACACAAAAACCAACAAAAATAGGTATATTACTATGTTTTCCCGAAAATAAGACCCACCCCAAAAACAAGACCGAGCCTAAATTTTGGGGGGTAGACCTAATATAATCCCTATGCCAAAAATAAGCCCAGGGGATACACGTGGCCTGCCAGCCCCTTGGTGCAGATACCTGTAAGTCCAAGTGTGGAGACTGAGGCAGGGATGGAGTCAGGCGATCTGGATATGCTGCGCAACTGCCTAGCTCATGGGATGCTCATGGGAGGCTTGTGCAGCAAGCAGAGGCAGAGACACAGTGGAGGAGGAGGAGGCAGGTGATCCTGATGCTCCATTTAGGTGCCTGCCCAGCATGGCTGGAGGCATGTCGAGAGACAGTGGGATGGAGCGGGTGGCGTGTTGGGATCACCTGCCTCCACCCACCCCCCATGCCTCTGCCTCCACCTGGCTATACCATGCACTTTTTGCCCACAGGAAGACAAAGCTTTATCTACTTGCAAATGTGTCCCATTTGCAAGCAGATAAAGCTTTGAGTCTCCCTCATTTCTCCATGTGGGCAAAAATTATTTGGGCGCCTATGGGTTGCTTGGGAATGGAGTATTTCGCCTTGCTGCGTTGCTCAGCCTCCTGCTCCAGTGCTGTGCTGGTGCTGGAAGAAGTGAGACGGTGGCCACATGGGCTCCTGTTGTACATGGGTGCTGGTGCTGCCACTGCCAGGCATGGGGCCCTGAGGTAAACTGATGTGCATGTCAGGCAGCTCCACCCCCCCCCCACCTCACGGTGGTGGCACTCAAAAAAAATTAAGACACCCCTGAAAATAAGCCTCAGTGCTTATTTTGGGGCCCAAAAGAAAATAAGACTGGGTCTTATTTTGGGGGAAAACACGGTGGTAAAATAAAGCTAGAGTAATTTTGAACCTTGCATTCTAGCCAATGCTTCTGTTGTTTTGCAATTACGTTTGAAGCATATGAATATACATCACCATGTGGGATATATGTTTTGGACAAGATCTTTATTCATAGTGTATGTATGTTAAACAAGATATTACAATTCCAGCTATTCATATTCCACAAATATCAAGTTTTAGGTCAGAATGGCAATCACAGTTTAATTCCAGTGAATTCAGTGGGACAGCCTAGTCATGACTAACATGCTTTACTGAGTGATATGGGATCACAGCAGGGGAACCAGGTAACCAGTTCAGTATCTAGTACAAACATTGTACTATACTATGCCACAGCTCTTTTTAAACCAAGGTTTATGATACAATTGGCTTAGGGGTGGGATTCAAATTTTTTAACCGGTTCTGTAGGCATGGCCTAATTTGTGGGTGTGGCTTGGTGGTCATGTGACTGGGTGAGTGTGGCTTGCTGACTGGGCATGGCTTGGTGGTCACGTGACTGGCTGGGCATGGCTTGTATGTAAACATTGTAAATATTTATGTAAATATTGAATTTTGTTATAAAAAAGAGCAACTTTTACCCAAAATCAGGCAAAGCAGGCAGGCAGCTTGAGTTGCTTGCAGAATCACAGATTCACTCACAGATCTACCTTTCTGCAATCTGCTGCCTGGGTCTGCACTGAAAAATAGAAGCTTCAGTCCTCAGGAAGGTTCAACTCTGCTCTCAGGCCACTTCTCCCCCTCTCCCCGAATACTACCCATGACTGGGCCTCAGGGAAGCCTCCTGGGTGAAGGCAACAGCGATTTAGGTTAGCTAGAAAGCAAGAAATCCGACAATTTCCTACTTTCTAGCTAATCTAAATGGGCGGCACAGCTGATAGTCAGAATAGCTGATCGTCGGGGGAAAAAATAGGAAAAATAACAACTTACCAAAAATTAGGCAAAGGCACAACGCAGGCAAGTTGGATGGCACGCATGCAAGATAAGGAGTGACTGTATGGGGCACGGAGGGGCAGGCAGGGAGGGACAGGGCCAGTCAGTGGAACGATTTACCAATTCTCAGAACTATGCAGAATCATAACAACTGGTTCTATAGAACTGGTCCGAACAGGTAGAATCCCACCCCTGGATTGGCTGGGTTCATGGAACATCCTAAACCAGGTGTTGGCAACCCGCAGCTCTGGAGCTGCATGTGGCTCTTTGGGCCCTCTGCTGTGGTTCCCTGTCCCATCACTGGCTGGCCCCACCCCTCATCCTCCCTCGCCTGGGCTGAGAAGGTAAGGGCAACTGTGGGGGATGAAGAAGAGGCAGAGGCTGATTCCCCAGTGCCTCTCTCTTGCTGGAGTTTCTTCTGGCCCTTGCTGGTGCTGGGTGTGCCTTGGTCGTTTGGAGGAAATGTGCAACCTGCTCTCTGCCCCAAAACACGGGGCTGGACCAGCTGCAACCAACGCCCGCCTTGCTAACATGAGGGCTGATGGGGTGGGAATGGGATCTGGGAGGATGGGACGATGGAAAGGGGGATAGGCCCACAGTGCCCAGCCACGGCTTTAAGAAGTTCAAGGCAGCAGGAAAAGGGGGCTGGCCCCACCAAACCCTGCACGCTCACCCTGGTGGGTCAGGCTCGGAGAAAGCCAGAGCATCCTTGCTAAAGATGCTTGCCTTTTCTCTCTCTCTTGGAAAGCTGCGGCTGGGCCAAGCCAGCAAGTTTTCTTTGAGGCTCTTGGCTACTTCTTTTATTTCTTCTTTTTTGAAATTCGGGCTGGCTGAGGAGCAATCACCAGCTGCAGCAAGAGGCTTCCCTTTGGGTGACCCTCCTTCTCCTCTTGCAACCCCCTGACCATCTGTGTGGGGGGGTGTGCACCCATGGGGAGACCTTCCTTAAGTAAGCAGCCACCTGCCCCATGCGTGCCTTTGCTGCGCTTTGGCCGAGCCCGGCTGCTGACTTGAGGAGGGTCTCCCCGTGTATGTGTGTGTGCACCCTCCTGACCCCATCACAGCTGGCCAGGGGGTCGTGAGAGCAGAAGGAGGAGGATGGTCGCTGGAGCCTTAGTGCAGGAGGAAAGCGGCCTTGTACCTACCTTCACACCACATTTGCGCATAAGGCAGCCTTTGCTTCCTGCCGCTTCAGACTGGAGCTTGTGCCCTGCGTGCTCAGCCAAAGAGCTGCTGTGGTGGGGTGTGTGGGGGACGACGACATGGCAAGGCGATGGCTGGAGCCTTAGTGCAGGAGAGAAGGTGCCTCCTATTAAGACCCTCCTTAAAGCGAGCGGCCCCAGAGAGAGTTTGCCGGCTTGGCCCAGCCCCACTGAGAAATAAACTCAGTCTGATGTGAATGATCTGTTTCCTTGTATTCGGCTTATAAATGTCTTTACTGTCTCTTTCTGCTTTTTCAAATTTCATTTCCTGCTCTTTTTACTTCCATTTGGTGCTCTGAAATCTCTATTAAAGTAATTTTTTTTTTTAAATCTAGGATCGAGATTTAATATTGCCAGGAATGATTTACAGTATGTGCAGTGCTGGATACAAAGTCCTAGGAATGCATACTATATAAGCCCTTGCTCTCTAAATCAAAGCAAACTTTTCATTTTTTCAAAATCTTAAGCTTAGTTTGTGGAGTTAATGTTTAAAAAAAGAAAAGGATCCATGCCAGAATAGATATTGGCAGGCACCCTGGGTTTTATCTCTCTCTAAGTCTGTATTACTTCGAGAACATCTCTCGCCTCCCTCAACTTTTTCTCATAGCATTACAAAAGATGTATACGGGAACTTGTTTAATATCCCATGGGATTTGCCAACATCATCTATTCCAACTGCATGGTTTTTTTTTTCCCCCACTCTGAACATGCCTTCCAGGTGTTCCCATTTCACCTGAAATTTTCAAAGCCTTCCCCATGTGTTTTTTATTGCAATCTCTCACACCCACACAAACCACACATGGAGACATTAGTAAATGATCCCAGAAGGAAACAAAGCAAGTCATGTCTCTAGACACCCCTTCAAAGCGTTTTTTGAAGCACAAGAAACAGAATGTCTCATTTTCAGAACAATGCATATGTGAGTTCCAAATTGATCCCCACAAGGACACTTGGGTTGAGTATTGAGTCCACATTTTTCAGGGTTTATATATCTAAGATATCTAAGATTTTCTGTCTTTAAGAGTGAGGGACAACCTTGTAATTTAGCTCAACAAAGTTCCCAGTTATTGGGACTGTGGCAAAGAAAGAAGGAGTTGCCATTCCCTCTCTCTCAAGGTCTCTATTCACATAAAAAGGAGTTATACAGCTTGATTTTATTCATATAATTAATGTCACACTTACTTTGATCTTATATATTCCACATGTGATAGATGGTTCTGCCATTTTAAAAGTTGTGACCCATTTCAAGGCTTATTGACATGCATTCACACTAATTTTGGAATCACTTAAAAAAAAAGCAAATTACAAATACACTTCTCAGAGTTAAATATAGTTGCTTGTGAAACAGATTTCTCAATCTAATTGGCTCACCAATTCTTTGGGTATTTTGAGATGCATCCCAGTTTACATACAGAAGTGCTATTAAAATAATGTTCAGAAGACCAAATTAAAGAGTTGCCCATATTAGGTTAATGTGGACCACACAGAATACATTACAACCTGATCCCCTACAAATATTTTGGAATTTGAAGCTGAAAACAGTTGGAGGTACTTAATTACTCATACTCCAGTGAAAAACATATAAAGCTTATTCTGATGCAATTTCTATATACTGCAAAAACTAAATTATTGTTTAAAGACGTGTTGCTTATTTTCACCATCTGAAGAAAAGAAGATACAACTTGAAAAGGATCATGACTGATAGCAATAGTCAAAGTGTATTGGTATATTATGCTATGGTGTCAAACCAGAGGTGGTATTCAGCAGGTTCGGACCAGTTCTGGAGAACTGGTAGTAGTAATTTTGAGTAGTTCGAAGAACTGGGAAATACCACCTCTGACTGGCCCTGCCCCCATTTATTCTCTGCCTCCCAACTCCCGGCTGATCAACTGGATCTTCTTTGGTTGCCCCGCACAGGAGAATGGAGCTGGAAAGCAGGTTAGTGGGGTGGGGAAGAAATGGATTTTGCAGTAACCTTCCCCCAGGAGTGGGGTGGGAATGGAGATTTTGCAGTATCCTTCCACTGCAACGCCCACCAAGCCAAATCCACAGAACCTGTAGTAAAAATTTTTGAATCCCAACACCCTCTTATAAGTTGAATTCAGCAGGGGAGGAGTATGTTGTATTGGGAAGTTGACACACAAAATAAGCATAAAAATGATTAAAACCTTTGAGACTTTAGTGATCACATAATTCTTCCAAACTCTTCCAAACTCATTATTTGTTTTCTTTAAAAAAAACAACAACCTGAAATATCAGAAGAACATGATGATATTTTGAAATTTTGGTTGTTCATATTTTGGAGGCTTCTGTAGGTGTTATAACACCCATAAAGGTACAATGTTCCAAGGTCACAAAGGGAATATTTTTAAGATCTTTATTATTTATTTAAAGAACAATTTACTTACAGTGGTGATCTTATCAGTAAAAGAAATAGCAAATGCAATCCAATCAAGATGGCTTTGAAAATGATGGACACACTTGAAGAATATATGCATAGACACACCTTCCACTGGAATGTGAATTTGCCTGGGTTATTTCTGTTTAGCATGGCCTTCCCTCCTGAAATCTCCCTTTAGTAAGCCAAATGTTTATTAAATGTTTGTTTAGAAATATTTGTGGAACTCTGGCTTTTAGAAAAATGAATAGGTTTTTTTTCCCCCCCCAAAGCTAAAACTGGCCCCACAATGACAGTTATGTTTAAATAACGAAATGTTCTTCCAAGCAGAGTCAGTACCACATAAAATGGAAACTGAAAATAAATAAGACGAAGCAATGTGCTGAAAAAAAAATTCAAAAGCTAAAAATAAGTTGGAGTAATGTATAGCAGAACAAATGAAAAAATGCTTATTACTTATCCCCAGCAGGAAAATGGGGTATT